TCATTAAGTACAGTACTTAATTAATCTTAAGTACTAATATTGGGGAAGTGGGTAGTACAAGATAGTGAGAGTTTGAAGCACAAGGTAGGAAACTATGAGGATGAAATTAGGTTCTTTTCTAATTTACTTTTGAACAGGGCATGGGTTGGACAATTTTTTAATTCATCAGGGAGTGAGTTCCAAAGACTGGGCCCATTTATTTACATGGAGTGTTTGCACAGTTTTAGCCTGACTCTGGGGAAATCAAAGATATATTTATTTCTGGTGTGGTGCTCATGGGTCCTATTACATCTATTAAGGAAAAGTTTCAGATCAAGATTAGCATTTAGGAACAAGGTTTTGTACATGTAGATAGCACACGAGAATGTGTAGAGTGTATGTTTAGCATGTTAAGGGACTTAAACAGAGGGGCTCTGAGTTGTCTGAATTCAATTTCTTTCTTTATTATGCACCCCATACCCAGAGATTTGTTGAACAGCAGAGCCATAGGTAGTGCAAGAACAGAGGCAGCACTCTTAATATATCATAGATGGTACAGTATTATATTAATGTTCCCAGCTTTGTTTATAAGTGATTGCATTATGGATATGTCTGTCGGGCTGACTGGTAAAAGGAGTAGAGAGTTAGGATGGCTGCCTGTGAGATATGTTGTAACATGTGTCTGGGTCTCTGGGATTTTTCTGGCAAGATTTGCACCAATTGATGAAAAGAAGCTATTGAATTCAGTTGCTATATTTAAGTCTGTTGCAAGTGTGTAACCATCTTTGGAGAGTTTTATCTGCTTGTTATGTGATTGTTGTTTAGAACCAAGTATGTTAGAGATGGCTTTCCATGTACTTTTCATATTTCATTTTGATTCTTTGAATCTAGTCTCACAAAAGGAAGCTTTGGTTCTTCGTATTATATTGCTAAGCCCCGACCGTCCAAGTGGTTGGGCACCATTCCTTTCCCCCCGTCCCATCCCAAATCCTTATTCTGACCCCTTCCACAGTGCTATATAGTCGTAATGGCTTGGCGCTTTTCTAATTTTTATGTTTTATGTGGTCGTAGTTTCATAACAACTGTTTTAGGAGCCCGTCCTCATAAACAAAAGACCCAAAGTCCATTCCATGCATCCGCCAAACCCCCTGTTTATGAATGAAAAATGGTTTACACACGACACACAACTGATGACGTCCGAATACTTCGGGAACAAGTGCGGTGTCTACTCATAGGATGAGTTAGATAACAAGTTAGATAACACAGTTATTAGGATAGGTTAGATAATATCCACTAGGACAGGCTAGGTAATGCTCAGTCACTGGGATAGGCTAGATAATACTCATTCAAAAGGATAGGCTAGATCCTATACTTTAGTTAACTACTGGCCGAGTTATCAATTTTGTCAAATTAAAATAACTAGCAAACGAAGAACGAAAATAAGTGAATTGATATGAAATGAAAATATATTTTAAACTTAGCAAATGAGTGAAACTTAATTATCTGCATATGAAGAGGCTTTTGCGTCTCTAATCCCACTAGAATAGATGAAGCCTTAAACAATTATGACTCTGACTCCTGATCAAATTCACTAGTTCCTCAAACATTTAACAGGACACTGCATTAATCATGTGATGAATATGCTTTAGGGGACACTAAAAAGCCCCGAAATCATCACAAGATAACCTCAAGATATAGTGTTTTAAGTCAGAATCCATCATTTGGAAATGTTCCATGAACAAAAAACCGAAAGTTGCAATTTTTGCAAGATATATATATACAGAAATCTTATGTATAATCTTAATCAATTGATTATTTATAGCATAAGCACGTACGGTTAAAAGGACAGACCAAGCCACTACAGGGAACGCACAATTCCAATTAAATGTTATTGTTTAAGATTTGCTACTTGGAACGCAAAGTTCCAAGTAGCACGGGCTATGGCGAGCCCGTTGATACAATTAAATACAAGAAAAAGAGAGAGCGACAATTAAGATTACGGGTAGTTTGTGCAGTTGCACGTAAATGCTGACTAGCCTACACCACGCGCCGGCAGCTGCTAAGACACTAAGACACAGCCCTGGTGCTGGAGAAGGTGTGCTCGGAGTTGAAATTGAAATAAGTTTATTGAGGTAAAATACACACAAAGGGATGAGGTAGCTCAAGCTATTCTCACCCCGTTCAGTACATCGTGTTAATACATACATAGACACACATCACAAACAATAAACATATCACCAAACATTCTGAGAGATAAACATATACATTTCCTCGTGCTGGGAGTTTATATCAAGGCTCGGAGTTTATGCCAAGGCTCGACTATACACGAGGACAGAGTGTGTTGGGGTTACGTCAACCGGGCTCCAAACTGTTTCATAACTTAACAAAAAAAACAATTTAATTGCTTTGGTTTCAGGTGGCGTGTGAGTGCGGTGACACAGTATGTGATTGTTTCGCGTTTACAGGAATGCAATTTGCACGCAATTTGAATTTTGCCCCGAGAGGCGAGTTTATTGAGCAGCGCCTTATCCTGTCGAGTTTGCGTACCGTCATAGCAGCATGTACAACACCCCCCAATAGGAAAAAAACCCGCTATGTTAACATGCTTAGTAAACAGCAAAAATATATCAAATTACTAACAACGATAACATGACAAAGCGTATAACGTATAGACATAACAGGAACAGCAAGCCGCTACACACATGACTAGGAAAACTTGCCCCCTCTTAATACGTTACCAGGCAACGAGCAGTCCTGTCTATAACACGCCGTATTTTGACGTATATTTCACACGACTCCTGCTGTATATTACTGCTTGTCTCTGCTAATTATGCATACGTTTTGCTATCAATAGTTACTCACCTTCTCATTTGCATACTCAAGATGAATACAGCATGTCACTTTAGCAACGTCTCTAATCAATTACTCAAATCCAGTATGTAATTTACGTATGAAAATTACACAGGCGATTTCAAATTCTTGTGACTAGCCTAGTCACAAAGAGAGGTAACATGGAGAGTTAATAGAGAAGTCATAACTTTCCTGAACAACTTAAATCATGTACACCATACACATTTGGTATTATGTACCATCAGAAATCTTAAGACTATCATGTACTATCAAAAATCTTAGCCAAGTATCCCAAGTTTGCTTACCAAAGTTGGTAATGCATACACGTGACTATAAAGCTACCTCCCAGTAGGATAACTTTATCATTATTATTACAGACTATCAAACTACGCACCCTCCCAATGGCGTGAGCTTATATTACAGCAAACCTCTGTTGTGATATCAGACTACAGCATAAATATCTATTTGGTTGCTATATCAGTTGCAGGATGCAACGCCTCTGGCAGTGTGAGATGTTATCGCAGACAATAACCTCTAAGAATAATAACAACACCACCCACTCCTTCACGAGGGTTATGACCTTGTAATATCAGATAACACGAGGAGGTGTCACCTTACGGCACTAAACAGCCTACAGTGGTGTGAGCTGTGATACAACAGCTTCCAGTGGTGTGAGCTGTGATACAACAGCCTCCACTTGTGTGAGCTGTGATACAACAGCCTCCACTTGTGTGAGCTGTGATACAACAGCCTCCACTTGTGTGAGCTGTGATACAACAGCCTCCACTTGTGTGAGCTGTGATACAACAGCCTCCACTTGTGTGAGCTGTGATACAACAGCCTCCACTTGTGTGAGCTGTGATACAACAGCCTCCACTTGTGTGAGCTGTGATACAACAGCCTCCACTTGTGTGAGCTGTGATACAACAGCCTCCACTTGTGTGAGCTGTGATACAACAGCCTCTAGTTGTGTGAGCTGTGATACAACAGCCTCTAGTTGTGTGAGCTGTGATACAACAGCCTCTAGTTGTGTGAGCTGTGATACAACAGCCTCCACTTGTGTGAGCTGTGATACAACAGCCTCCACTTGTGTGAGCTGTGATACAACAGCCTCCACTTGTGTGAGCTGTGATACAACAGCCTCCACTTGTGTGAGCTGTGATACAACAGCCTCCACTTGTGTGAGCTGTGATACAACAGCCTCCACTTGTGTGAGCTGTGATACAACAGCCTCCACTTGTGTGAGCTGTGATACAACAGCCTCCACTTGTGTGAGCTGTGATACAACAGCCTCCACTTGTGTGAGCTGTGATACAACAGCCTCCACTTGTGTGAGCTGTGATACAACAGCCTCCACTTGTGTGAGCTGTGATACAACAGCCTCCACTTGTGTGAGCTGTGATACAACAGCCTCCACTTGTGTGAGCTGTGATACAACAGCCTCCACTTGTGTGAGCTGTGATACAACAGCCTCTAGTTGTGTGAGCTGTGATACAACAGCCTCTAGTTGTGTGAGCTGTGATACAACAGCCTCCACTTGTGTGAGCTGTGATACAACAACCTCCACTTGTGTGAGCTGTGATACAACAGCCTCTAGTTGTGTGAGCTGTGATACAACAGCCTCTAGTTGTGTGAGCTGTGATACAACAACCTACAGTTGTGTGAGCTGTGATACAACAGGACACAGTGTCAAACACTTACACTGTCACATTTTTTCTCACGTGTTAATTTTCGTAATTTACACACAAAAAGCTTATATATTAAACAAATTAATGAGTCTGACAAATTTAATTGTTAATTTTAAGCAGTGTAGATATTATGCGAGTAATAACTCAATTTATCCCACGAAAAACAGTGAATAAAATAATTTGCGAACAAAAAAATTCAGTTCTGTAACCCATTTAAGGAGGGGGGGGCAGTCTACAGTAGGAAAATGCAACAAAACATATTTTCTATATATTGTTAAAAATGGAATGTCAGCTAAGAGAGATATAACCATAAATTATTAATTTTCTGGACCCGCAAGGCTGTCAAAGACTTCTAGCCTAAGCTAAGTACAAATAGCCTAAGCTACTCTATCCCTTTGAGGTGTATTTTTTCTTGTCTCAATAAACACACTTGAACTTAAAATGACGCTAAGAGGTTAATTAAGTGTTGTTGTGCTTCTGCAGGAGAGGGCCGACGCTACAGATGATGGTGTATGGTAGTGTGCTTATAATGATGCTGATCCTTGTGTACCGCTACACCCAGCCTAGTCCAGTTCACCACCTTCAGTACATTGGTGCCATCGCCGCACTCAAAGGTAACAATTATAGCCATTGCCGATTGTTTGACGATCATTAATGTTATGTTAAACTCCGGTGTTCTAGGCCTGCAAATTCAGTTTCGATTATCAGATGAGAGCAGATTTACTGCCAGATGTTGTCTAAATACAGGTGCCTCGGATTCAGAAAGCAGTTACGCAAGTACTTACGAACGTGTACATCTTTCCTCAATCTTTGACGGCTTTGTTTACAATTATTAAACAATTAATGAGCTCCGAAGCACCAGGAGACTGTTTATAACAATAACAACAGTTGATTGGCAAGTTTTCATGCTTGTAAATTGCTTAATAAAAGTTTACAAGCAAAAACAGTTTGTAAACCGTTTAATAAAACAGTTTACAAGCATGAAAACTTGCCAATCAACTGTTGTTATTGTTATAAACAGCCTCCTGGTGCCTCGGAGCTCATTAACTGTTTAATAATTGTAAACAAAGCTGCCAAAGACTGAGAAAAGATGTACAGGTTCGTAAGTACTTGCCTAACTGCTACGTGAATCCGGGTCGTAACGTCACTCCAAGCCACTAGCAACCCTCACATTCTAAGTGATAGTGTTCCCGGGTGAGGCTGCCCCACACACTATTATATAACCAAGGCCACATATAACTATTTTGGAGGCCCTCGGCCACAACATCTGGGCCCCCACTTGTCAGTCTGGCTATTTAAAGGCTAAACATATACATGTAGACAGCTCATATAAATAATATGTAACGACTTGAGAATGGTTCAGGACGGGCCGAAACGTCTTCGTCCCTTCACATTTTAGTGTGTGGTCTGGTCAACATACTTCAGAAGGGGCCAGATTCACGAAAACACTTACGAACCTGTACATCTTTTCTCAATCTTTGGAGGCTTTGTTTACAATTATTAAACAGTTAATGAGCTCCGAAGCACCAGGAGGCTGTTTATAAGAATACCAACAGTTGAATGGGAAGTTTTCATGCTTGTAAATTGTTTAATAAATGTTATCAAAGCAGTCAAAGATTGAGGAAAGATGTACACGTTCATAAGTGCTTGCGTAAGTGCTTTCGTGAATCTGGCCCCAGGCACGTTATTGTGACTCATCGTCTGCATCTTCTCATCAACCACGTTTTTGTGACTTATCATCTACTATGTTCCTGTTTGATACAGAATCTCTGTCGCGGATCATCAAGGAAGAACTGGCCAGGAAGAACTCTAATGTCAAGATTCCCACCATCTACATCATCACCCCGACGTACCGTAGACAGGAACAGGTAAGGAACAAGTATGACACTACAAATTACCATGTCAAGTTTATACATTCACTTGCATACAGAGGTAAGGTAGTTATCAGAACTAAGCGCTATGTCAGTGTGACTCCGTAGCATTTGCAAGGGATATAAAGACAGGGAGCTGGCATACAATGACGGGAGGGGGGGGGGGTTGGAGAAATAGTGCTCAACCACTTGAACATCGGGGATCGAACGGCCACTCTGTAAGATACATAGCCTTTGCTGTACCGAGCAGACCAAGTGAATCAACATCTTTACAGTGGGTTGCAGATATGCTTCATTATGCAATATAGCAGGAATGATTTGCAACATTGTATTTTAAGCATTTCTCCGTACATAATTTTGCCCAAACACTTCGGGTGGACGGTAGAGCGACGGTCTGGCTTCATGCAGGTCGACGTCAATCCCCCGACCATTCAAATGGTTGGGCATTATTCCTTTCCCCCGTCCCATCCCCATTCCTTATTCTGACCCCTTCCCATTGCTATAGTCTTAATGGCTTGATACTTAACCCTGAAAATTCCCTTCCCATACATATTTCTTTTTATTCATCAGTTGTACTGTACTTCTAGACCACCTCCCCAGTAGCTCCTACTGAACTACACAACCCAATAATGAAATTATGCTCAGTTTTGTTTTTATATATTGATGATATTTACAGTCAAGATACTGTCTGCCCAGTAACAAAAGACCTCAACTTTATGAATATAAAAAATGTGTTTTCGGTTTGAAGTCAATATAAAACAACATTCTCAAGATATATCATGTCACAGAATAAACAAATAAATAAAAATAAATCAATAAATAATATTATTACTGCTCAATTTCAATAGCAGCCAAACTTTTTTACTTAAACTTTAATATTTTATATTTGAATTTGTCGAACAAATTCAGATATTGAATGAAAGCCACATAAAAAATTAGGAAAAAAAGAGGAAAAAACAATAAATATCAAAACCCTAAAATTACCCAAATAAAATAAAACCCAATAAATGTCTCTAGAACACCAGCTGGCGTTAGACAATAGCATTCAGAATACAATCCTGAGTTTTATCTAAGTAAATCGAATTCACTGACTCTTTAGAATCCTTCAATAATTTTTCCATAATTAGTTTAGCTTAATTGAAATAAAACATGAACTAATATTGCAGTTAATAATCCCAAAGTTTTCGTATCCTGTAGAGTTGTTTTTTTTCACTATATATATTGAGACATGACCTTACATTATAGGGGACCAAACGAGGTCTATAATTATGCATACAGGAAATTTAAACGTTTATAGCTAGGTACAATATACTGATGCTAAGTTTAACGAGTTAATGAGTGTTACATTTTTGCAAATTAGCTACACGTTTCACGCGACTGATCCATAAATATATCATACGACTGAGTATTCATATAAAAGGAGCAATGGGCTGTGAAAATACATACCATAATGTGTGGCAGTCCTGTAAAGCCAACCATGGTTTACAACTGTAAACTGTAAAGGACTGTTTGTCCTTTTTAACACATTTCAAATTATGAATGATAAATAATTTATCTTGCCGTCTCTTGAGAGGCAAACAATGTGCAAGAATAACCAGTACAGCCCGTTCTCAGATGGTCCAGTGTGTACCTTGGTGGTAATTACCACATCAAAGTCTAGATTTGGATTACCGTAATAGTTTCAAAACGAATTAAGCTTAATTAGTACTTTGGTGTATTTACGGACCTTGGTCAACAAACTAAGTTAGGATAGATTAAATATGATAGGATAGGTTAGGTTGATAGGATAAGTTAGGTATGATAGGATAGGTTAGGCATGATAGAATAGGTTAGATATGACAGGATAGGTTAGGTATGATAGGATAGGTTAGATATGATAGGATAGGTTAGGTATGATAGGATAGGTTAGATATGACAGGATAGGTTAGATATGATAGGATAGGTTAGGTATGATAGGATAGGTTAGGCATGATAGGATAGGTTAGATATGACAGGATAGGTGAGATATGATAGGATAGGTTAGGTATGATAGGATAGGTTAGGCATGATAGGATAGGTTAGATATGACAGGATAGGTGAGATATGATAGGATAGGTTAGGTATGATAGGATAGGTTAGATATGACAGGATAGGTTAGATATGATAGGATAGGTTAGGTATGAAAGGATAGGTTAGATATGATAGGATAATTAAGGTATGATAGCATAGGTTAGGTATAAAATACAGTAATTATATACATAAAAATAAAAAATAATGTGTTTAGAATAAAAATTCACTTACCATTTGTCGAGAAGACTACAAATAGAACCTCAATAAACCTAAATGAATAGTTAAATCCACGAAGTTTAACTCGGAGGATAGACACCAAGTCCGGTACAATTACGCCAGCATAAATGCCTTATATAAATACTAGTCAAATTCACTCAGCGTACTTAGTTCTAACACACAAACTAACCTAAGAACGGGCTGCACAAACGACAAACCATAACTTACCTTAGTTTAGTAGATATTAACATCGTGGTGGGATGGCGGCCCCCCAAGAGGCAGACGATTTACAATGTTAATTTTCACTTAGCGAGACACAACACATTCTTTCAAGTTAAACTGGTGTTGCCAGCACAGTATAAGTGTTTCATAGGTGGGAGTATGTCGGGTATGCTGTAGCACTGACATAGTTACAGGGCTTCTTGAGCCTCTACCACAAGCTTAGCGTCTACCTCTGGCAATAATGCGGGTTGCCTGCGACACTGTAAACTTTCCCGCATCTCGTCCACATTAATAAACTCCTTTACATCATGTCTCCCGAGGTGACCTATATATAAAAATAAGATTTAATATATATATATTAATATATAATAAAGTATGCATAAGCTTGAAAATTTACCAGTCTGTTAGTTTTATTGATTTTAATTTCGTTTTGGCAAACCTTGTTACTCCGTTTTTTTTAACAAGCTTAGGTATACATAGCAATATGCTGCTACCCCCCCCCTATTCTGTATTAAAGATTACACAATGTAGATCAAAACCAGCTATAAGCTCCTCCAATATCCCCACCTCACAGGACGATCAGTCATACATGGAATCTGGGAGAGAACATGAAAAGTAATGCCCATCTATCAGCCTCCTCTAATAGTCTAGGTGAAGCACAAGAATATCTTCCAATATTCCTATGTATAAAGTAATTACAGAGCTCAAAGTACCTCATACCATTTGGTCTGAAGTCACTTATAACAGGACAATCACAGATAGTTAGAGATTGTCCCAGCTCTTGTTCACAGAGTTTACAATTGAAATGTTCACCATTGGGGGATTCATTACCTGCAGCCACCTGCCATAGATATCGATATCCCAGCCTAATTCAGGCAATTACAATATCACACTATCTAGTGGATGATTTATCCTGCCCGTACGTATAATTCTCGGTTCTAAACATGTCATAGCTCTTTATACTCGTGCTTTCTGGCCTTTGAGTGCCATTAACTGCTCTCGTCTTCCCTAATTTCCAGAAATATTGCTGTTTTTACAGCAGAGAATGGATTGCCCATATCCAACTCAATTTCAATTTGTTGTTGTTCTTCAAGATTTGCTACCTGAAACTAAAAGTTCCAGGCAGCACGGGCTATGGCGAGCCCATTTTTTTGTTACTTTCAAGCTTATCACATGCAGTTTTAGCTGCCTTGTCTGTGTCATCATGCTGGACAACACCTACGTGAGATGGCATCCATACAAATGACACAAACTCTTGCTCTTTGCATTAATAATGGTTTATAATGGAGGTTTCAACATGCTCCGTCATGCTGCACTCTTATGTAGACGGTTCATAATTATAAAAAGGTTTAGGCGTCAAGGCCCACAAGGGAATTTAGCTGGATGTTTAATGTGAATAGTTAGTTGAAACGAATTAATTGGATTGGTGTTTTTACTCCTTTACATACTCCCGAAGTGCAATATTACTCTTACACACTGCCCAGGACAAATATTACTGTTGAAGACACACTGATGGAGAAATATTACTCATGCAGACATACTGATGGAGAAATATTGCTCATGCAGACATACTGATGGAGAAATATTGCTCATGCAAACACACTGGAAATATATTACTCCTGTAGACACTGATGGAATAACAGTGCTACTGCAGACACACATATGGAGCAATATTACTCCTGAAGACACACTGATGGAGATATATTACTCCTGCACACACACTAATGTTGCAATATTACTCCTGCAAACACACTGGTGGAGAAATATTACTCCTGCAGACACACTGATGTTACAATATTACTCCTGCAAACACACTGATGGAAAAATATTACTCTTGCAGACACACTGATGTTACAATACTGTATTACTCCTGCAAACACACTGGTGGAGAAATATTACTCTTGCAGACACACTGATGTTACAATATTACTCCTGCAAACACACTGGTGGAGAAATATTACTCCTGCAGACACACTGATGTTACAATATTACTCCTGCAAACACACTGATGGAGAAATATTACTCTTGCAGACACACCGCTGTAGCAATATTCTTAGCAGTAATTCTTAGTATATAAACTGCATGAATACCTGGGTACTCCCATATTTATCTCAGAATACCTGGGTACTATCATATTTATCTCAGAATACCTGGGTACTATCATATTTATCTCAGAATACCTGGGTACTCCCATATTTATCTCAGATTGTAAAATCAATGCTTTAAACTGTGTTTCTGTTTGCACTTGTTAATTAGAAAATTGAATTGCTTAAAACAAATAAAATTAACAGGTAAATCTAAAAGCAAAAGATTCTGAATGAGCAATAAAATACAGTACATTTATTACATACTAATATATAATAATTGCAAAGTTCTCTTGATAATCTTCATGTCTATTTGTAATCAAATCTGCATCTCTATGCCAGGTGCTGCTAAATGGATCTCTAAAATGGTCACATATTTACCTCAGATTCCGGAGTTGACTCGCTTTGCCCAGACTTTGATGCACGTCCCAAACATTCACTGGATTGTTGCCGATGATGCAAATGTAACAAACAGGCAGGTCGTCGAGTACCTCACCTACACTGGCATATCCCACACTTACCTACTCAGTAAGTTACTATTCAGTTTTTTTTTTTTAATGCTCTCGTCTTCCCTAATTTCCAATGAATTGTATTCCTGTATTGTTGAACTCGGCAAATTTCCTTATGCTTCCAAATAGAAATTCCCTACTTTGTGATTTAGCTCAAGTATTTTTAAGGTTAAGAATTTTTTGACAAGATATTTTCTAATTCAAAAATGTATTTCTACATCTCATCAGGTCTGTAATTCTTGCATTCTCCCGAAATATATAAATGTGGCGAAGAAAAGTTTGTACAAGTGATTTCACTATTATGTGTACAGTAGATGGGGGCTATAAAATACTTACAAGCATTATTTATTGAACATGGCACAAGGGATCTGTTTAATCTCAAATTTCTTCACTGACAGACCTAGGTATCCCCTCTTTACATTAACCCTTTTTATTCAACTACATAAAGCTTTCTTCTGATTAGTTTGGCTTTTCAGTTTAGTTCATTTATTATGCACCCCATACACATCCTGCTAGTGGACCCCATACACATCCTGTGTGGTAGCAGACCCCATACCCATCCTATGAGTGCTAGTGGACCCCATACCCATCCTGTGAGTGCTAGTGGAACCAATACCCATTCTGCCAGTGGACCCCATACCCTTTCTTTGAGTGGCAGTGGACCACATACCCATCCTGTGAATGGTAGTGGATCCTATACCCATTCTGCTTATACCCATTATGGTAGTTGAATTAGTTTATTATGGAGACCATACTCATCTTGTGTATGAGTGGCAGAATGATTACAGTCACATAATGGGCTTTTACATTTGTAGTGATCTAGGTACATACAGTACAGTAATTTAAATTTGCCTATCTTAACTGTTCTTTTTCAACATGAAGAACTTTCATCATAATTACATAATGGCAATAACATCATCTCTAAGCCCATTCACATCAACATACCAAGGAAATGCTGTTTAAAACTTGCATCTCAACAGCACCAATGCCCGAGAAGTACAAATCATCATCTATCAAACCCAAGGGTGTGGCCAACCGTAATGGTGGACTTCAGTGGGTAAGGGAACATGCAACCACAGGAGTCGTTTACTTTGCTGATGATGACAACACCTATGACATTAGGGTGTTTCAAGAGGTTTGTCTCCGAAGATTTTCTTATACATAATACGATATGAATCTTCGTGCCTATACGATTATGTTTCTAACTTAATTCTTTATTTATATTAATTTATTTGTAGCCGATTGTAAGTCTATTGTAGACTTTATACTGTACTCTCCCAAACATTTTACAAAAATCTTATGTGCCTTTGTAAATTAGGAATTGCCTAGCAGTAAAATATAAAGCATCACAAATTATAAACCAAGTACTGTATAGCAATAAACCATACAATATATAGCAATAAACCATACAAAATATTGTTTAGTATTTAGTAGTAATGAAGATCCTTTCCCCCAACAGATGAGATACACAGAGCGTGTGTCTATGTGGCCTGTGGGACTAGTAACAAAAGCTGGGCTTTCAACACCAGTCCTTAAAAATGGTAAATTCTTTTCCTGGTATGATGGATGGATTGCCAGTAGAAAATTCCCTATTGACATGGCAGGTTTTGCTGTCAGTGTTCAATATTTACTAAAGGTACGTAATGCAAACAATTGTACTCTATGACTTAATTCACTAGCCAATCAAATTTAATTGTCAACACTTGTAGCCCAAAGAGCAAACTGTAGAATTTTTCAGATATAGCATATACCAATAATCACATTAGACTTAAGATACAGTAATCAGTTATGAAATGCTATTAAAATTACTTCAGAATAGACAATGTATATTGACCAATCACTTGAATTTGTGGGTAAAGTGGAGACCTCGCTTCTTGCAGAGTGGCATTCAATCCCCAGCAGTCCAAGTGCTTGGTTACTACTCCTTTCTTCCATCAAATCCCAGATTCCTGTCCTCGTATCCCCTTCCGAGTGATATATATAGTCACACTGGCTTAGCGTTTTCTCTTCATAACTGCATACCTTAATGCATATTCTTTAGCTATACAGTATTTGAAAAAAATAGAATAACAGCATAAATATTCCAAAATCTTGGTTATTCTTCATGTATTCAACACATTAACTATTTTTTAAGTGTCAGTTTAGCAAGTTTACCCTCATAAATTGACAATTTATTAATTATTAAATAAGACTTTTACTTGCATGATTAATAACTGACTTGAAATTCAGATAAACAGAAATAGAAAATAGTATACATAACAGTATTATTATTATTATTATTGAAGGTGTAGGAAAGACCCAATACAGTATATATGTAAGTGTATTGAAAAGCTAATTTTTTGATGTAGGTTACATCTGACAATTAGATTTCTAATACACTTACACATATATTGGGTCTTTTCTTCACCTTCATTCAAGCACTACAGAAGATGGAAGAAAAAGAGGTGATATGATCACCACTTACAAAATAATAACAGGAATTGACCAAATTGACAGAGGACTTCCTGACACCAGCAACTTCAAGAACAAGATTCAAGCTAAGGAAACAAAGTTGCCAGAAAAATATTAGAAAGTTTTTTTTACAAACAGAGTGGTAGATGGTTGGAACAAGTTAAGTGAGAAGATGGTGGTGGCAAAAACTGTCAGTAGTTTTAATGCATTATATAACAGAGTACTGGGAATCAACTTGAGAATGGTCCAGGACGGACCGAAACGTCGTCGTCCCTTCACCTTCTAAGTGTGTGGTCTGGTCAACATACTTTAGCCACGTTATTGTGACTCATCGCCTGCAGAGTACTGGGAAGATGGGACACTATGAGCGTAGCTCTCATCCTGTAACTACACTTTAGTAATTACACTCTGGTAATTACTATGGCATTGTAGTACATTTCTCCATTATTATTACTACTATATTCAATTTTGCTGAGAACCAGGACTGCAGCTTAAGGGTTATTTAGTGCAATACTATACAGTATATGGTTAATGAGACTTGTATATTATCACTGTTAATAAAATCAGTGTTGAATGGTTTTCACTACTGGGTCACATCAGTTGCAGGAGCCATGTTTGGCCTACCGGAGACTAATCTTGGCCCCCATCCCTCTCACACAGGTGTGAGAAGCAGGGAACTATTATTATTTCCCTCAACAGGAAACATTCCAGAAAGTCAATGAAGCTTTACAGACACTGCAAGGAACATAGACAATGAAACAGCAAAACAGCCAAACTACTCCACAAAAATTCATTCCAAACAAGTGGTTCACTCAAATAGGTTAAACTGGTTGGTACCAATCGTCACCACCAGGTAGCCCATAGCCATGGCTAACAGCCGGCTTCAAGGTCAGTCCGGAGCTGATGCACAATGAACCAAGGAACCTGGTAGGGAGGGAGTCACTGGGGCTCTACCAAAAAGAGGCATTTCATTACATTCATTACATTACAATGCTGGTTTTCTTGGAGGAACCCCCTTGATAGCTTCCTGAAGCTAATTAATCACAGAGGAAAGGACAAACAAGAAACTTACCAGGGAGGAGAGATGGCAGATACTAGATAAAAGATGATAATTGCCAACAGAACTTTAGCCTGGCCTGGGGCTGGGCTTGGAACCCCATCAAGCAGATATTAACCTGCCTTTACCATCCCCTCTTTGTCTGCTTCCTAAACGTGACCTATTATAGTATTCCTGCCTTTCATTTCACCGACTTGAGGCACTAAAATGAATACCAATACAATTGCTCTTACCAACTATCAATTTGGGCGAGGTGGTACGATATCTTACCTCCATATAAACTCCTGTGGTGACACAAGTGATTGCATTTTCTCATCATCTTGCACATCTCAGACATTATTCACTTGTCTGATCCATTTAGCTCTTTCTACTCTTCGTTTTTGCTTGCATTGTACTTGGGCTTCTCTGTATGTAGTCAAAAGCAAAACTAATTGGGAGAAAAGATGCTCACTTTCTGGAATATCCCTAGTTAAAAAAAACATTATTTTCAGGTGCCAGATGCAGCAATGCCCTACAAAGCTGGATATGAAGAAGATGGCTTTATGAAAAGCCTTAAGATACGGCCTGAAGAAATTGAATTTAAAGCAGAAGAGTGTACAAAGGTAATTATTGTAAATGTTTGTAGTGCAAAATTTACTTCAATTTGAATTACAGTACTGTATTTATGTACAACTGTACATTATGCTTATGTTTATGTAGACTTACAGTGTAGTATTTTGCAGATATATGTATGGCACACTCAGACAAAGAAGAATGGCCCATCTAACAAGGACATCTTGGATTCAAAATACAATGACACAAATCTCAGAATACTGCAAAAAAGAATGATGATAGCACCCTGAGCACTTAGTCTGTAATGAATTTTTTATATTAAAATATTTATATCAGTTTTATATGAACTTAATTTATTATAAAAATTTTACCTTATTTTTTGTTTCTTTCACCTACATGATAAATATTGTACAGGTTGATGGAAGTTGATAATTGGTAGATTACTTTTCCGTATAGGAAGGTGCAAGCCTGAAAGACTGCATTAAGAGAATAGAAAATTTCCTAGATATCATTCAGGATGCCAATACAAGTGCAAAATGACAATGCATACATGTCAAAGATATCTGAATCATCAAGTTTTCTTTTTTATCAAGGAACATTTGAAAAGCAAGATTTCCAGTCATCTTCAATCAAGACATTAGACGCAATGCATGACTTTTAGTGGTACAATGCAGCTCTGACAGTAAAGAGCAAGTCTCTGTTCCATTAAGTGCCCATGAGTTAATCATGTGTGGCCAACACATAAACCAGCCAAAGATATTTCATACTTCCTGTTACAGTGGCAGGAAGCAGGCATGGAGACAGGTCACATAATATGCAATTTGTTATTTATAATGGCTAACCACTTATCTCTCAAATAGATTAAATAACGAGGAAGAAATCCAAGTAGTAAAGTTCCTAGATGGGATAGGTATGAACGTTTTCTTTAGCAGTAGGATATCTTAGCCTCTTATGACCAGGTCATAAGAGGCTAAGAATCTAGCAAAACTTTTACTCTTATTAAGATGAGAAACGGCCAATGTTGTATTTCAATCAGCACAGGCCGGGGCAAGAAAACAGTAGTGCCAATGCTAGCACGCGTCTAGGCATTTTTGGGAACCCTAACTGAACCTCATCAATGTGCAGGTGAGCAGCCTGGTAGTCAGCCTCTTCTCAACATTGGAACTCTACATGTGGCCGAGACTGTTCGTGTAGATTTTAATGTTGAAGCCAATGGGATAAGTCATACATTAGATTATCTATGTCCTTTAATTGAGGAAACTTAAATATGAAAAGGATATAGAATTTTAACATCCATACTATGATACTCCTTATTTCACTACTTCACTAAGAATAAAACATTAAATGGCATTTAAAACAACAGCAAATAATTCACCATAAACCTTAAGAATCAGTTTCATCAAGTATTGATACAGCCCTAAATTACAGTTATTTAATGACTACATCATTCAAACTTTGACATTACTTGCTTAAATCATAGTGACAACTGCTGATAATATGAAATAAAAAATGCCTTATGTAACTTGATACATTTTTACTCAATTCACCAAGGTCACTGACTTCCTCTAGAGTCGATAACACCAAGCCAACAATTGAGTAAAGGTTTCCCGAGCTACACAGACCATTATACTTTCACATTAATTATAGTTGCTACCGAGTATAGAGTAATCAACACCACAACACCTTAATTTATACCTAGACTAGTACAGAAATTCTCACATGAAATTACTATAGTCGTCAATTTGCCACTTGTTTTTCTGTAATCAAACTTAAAATTTATCTTAAATTTTGAAGCGATACATTTTTTCCATAATGACACAATGATGCATCAAATAACTTCACTATTAATGCACTAAATATCCAATAGTAAAGTACAGTATAACATTATTCAGATCTGTTAATTCTAAACAGGTATGTCAAACGTCGGTCAATCTAATAATACAATCTCATCAAAGCCAAGACTACTTTTCTATAAAGATGTTGCATCTGTTGTGAACTTATCCCAGACTGTGTTAATTAAACCATTGATTAGAAAGCTTTAACAGTGAACTTCAAGTTTTACTGTTATTTATCAAGGTGGCTTATGCAGTTGCTTCTAAACACAAGAAAAGATCGTCATTATTATTGGCTTCTTGCCCACTGTCAGACCATAAGGGCAGGGAAAGGTAATCTGCAAATACTTTATAATAATATTTATGAGCCAGCCACTTTAACTATGGTGTTTAAGCATCTGTAACTTGGGTAAGCTGCATAATGCATGTGCATACAGCTGCATGCACCTGTAGGCAAACAGATGCACTCCACTAGCCACACAATCTAGCTTCAGCAAACAATTATTCCTTATTTCTTAAATTTTACCACAATCACAAATACATACATCACATCTTAACCATTAAATTGTCAAATAAATGTACTTTTCCTAAAGAGACTAGTAATTGCTTTAAATAATAATTATCAAAGATAAATGAAACTATATACTTGTACTATGTTATGAGTTACAAGCACAGCAGGATCTTGGTGTGTTCTTCATACATCAATATTGTCTCCACGAGCTGGAAACACATCACACCACCTTCTTGCATTATACAAGAGTCTGACAATGTTTAACTTAAGGTTCAAATTAGCCTTACACAGTATTATACGAACAGAGGAAATGGCATTATAGATGGAAAATTTATGTTAACCAATATTGCATCCATAATTACCTTTTGCTGAAGTTACCAGATATAAATCTTTCTAATAAAATGCGTTATCATAATACAACTGACGCGTGACCATCCTAGAGCAAATAGCGTCTACAAACCATCGCCCATACCTAAGAGTGAATGTATGTCTACAAACATCAATACAACCTTCTTACTTTCTAGTTTTATAATACAGCTTTTTAACCATTCACCACTGAAACCTTCTCATTTCAGAGTTTCTATAGTACTCCTCACACTCTTAGAGATTACATTTATTTGGGAAATATTAAAAAAATATTAAAAAAAGGAAAAGAAAGAAAATTATTAAGTGTGTGTGTGTGCTCGACCCTGATGATCCAAGTGGTTGATTTCCAGCCACCGGAACTATCAGAGGTTAAACACCGACCTACAAGAAGCGAGGTCACTGCTCTTCCAACCAGTCCAAGTGGCTCGAGAAAGAGGGCAAACAATATTATTAAGACCTGAGCCCAAAGAGAGTTATTAATTAATAGTGTTGAACAGTATTGGAAACAAGCACAGCCATCTAGAAAAACTGAATTGATTATAATTGACTAAGAATTCTTCATGTATCCAGTACGGTCCATTCACCTGGGCTGTATGGGTCTCGAACCATGGCCCCCACATGTGGGAGGTTATCTTGAGATGATTTTGGGGCTTTTTAGTGTCCCCGCGGCCTGGTCCTCGACCAGGCCTCCACCCCCAGGAAGCAGCCCGTGACAGCTGACTAACTCCCAGGTACCTATTTTACTGCTAGGTAACAGGGGCTCGGCTCCCAAAGGCTCGGGCTCGGGAAGCTCAAGCTCTATCAACTGGGCTATGAATAGTCTTAATAAGGAAAGTTTCTAGGAATAATAAAAATAATAAGTAATAACTTAATAAGAAAAATAATTTTATTCAGTACAGTGTTTACTAGTAGCTAATTATTAAGATGTTTTATTGCTCCTGAGAAGCCCACACAACACAAGTACTGAAAACAAGTACAAGTCAGAGCACAGTTTGGAAGAAGGAAGTCTTTGCCAACAATATGAACTATGAGAAATGGAAATAATTTATAACGATATAATTTATGACTGCACCAGCTCAAGATAAAAAGACAGATGACTAAGATATTGGTGGTGTACAATGGCCAGTTATGTTTGAGGTCGTGTTATACCCTAGGACCAGCTCCAGCCACTTGGGCTGGACAGTAGAGCGACGGTCTCGCGTCATACAGGTTGCCATTCAATCCCCGACCGTCCAAGTGGTTGGGCAACATTCCTTCCCCCCGTCCCGTCCCATATCCTTATCCTGACCCCCTTCCCAGTGCTATATAGTCGTAATGACTTGGTACTTTTCCCTGATAGTTCCCTTCCTTTCCAGAACAAACTGACATGTTACACTGCAGATGATGAGTCACAATAATGTGGCTGAAAAATGTTGACCAAACCACACACTAGAAATTGAAGAGACGACGACATTTCTGTCCATCCTAGACCATTATCGAGTCGATTGTGAGACGAAAATCGATTGTGAGACGAAAGTCGTCGTCTCTCGAATTTCTAGTGTGTGGTTTGGTCAACATGTCACCTTGCAAGCCAGATAAACAAATGACTACACCACCTTGGTTGAACTAATTACTTCTTACTACTGTAATAGGAAAAGATAAGTAATTACTGTAGGTAATATATAATTTAATAGAACTCTTCATTACTGTACTAATATACTCATCACTGTTTTACTCTACTGTTGCTCATGTAGCACACTGCACTTGTTCTAGGTTAAAACACAGCAACTTAATTAGTGTTCTAATAAAATCAAAACTAAGTTTAACCCAGCCAAATGCACTACATACATGTGAACACATCTTAATGACAACTCATATTATGCCCCACAACATCTAACTCATATACGGTACTTTCTAAAATGTCCTGTTCCATACATCAGTATTTCAGTATCTGCAAAATAAAATATTTTTATTCAATAACAAGAGATGAATCAATTATATACAAAAGATGTGGAGATTATTAAATTAAATTACACAACATGTTTAAAATTACAAAGTATAAAATTCATTAAAATAAGCTTTTTAAAATATTTTCAATAGACAGCACATCCAGGAATACCTACACAGAGGACAGTAAATTTACCCTGTAAAGATGGTATATAAAGACAACATACAGTCTTCCATTATATATAAAAAAAAAAAATTAATGCAACTAGAAAGTTTAACAGCTTAACATATCAACATACTAACATCAAAATATTTTGATTCTATGGAAGCAAGCATGTTCATTAAATGTTCTAGTTACAGTAATTAAATGTTCTAATATCACAATACTATCAACTAGCAAAGAATGGAAGACTGCACAACACCACAGTGCTACTCAATACATCAACGTCAGATCATTTATCACTAAAATTTAATTGCACTATTTTCGTATGTATAAAAAAAACAGCACCAGTTTAAACAAACGGCACATTCAGTCCAGTAAAAACTAATTAAATTTTGTACAAGGTACAATTACCTGTGAGTGAGCGATATATTGTGCGGAAGACGCACATCGGGGTTTGGGTACTGAGGAGTTTCAATTACTCCTGCACCAAATTTGAGCTCCAAGAAGTCTCGAACATTATTGGGTGCCGATGCCATAACTCCGGCAAAATTTACTGAGGCAAGAGGCCGCAAGAAGTGCTCTGGAAAATCTACATCCTGACGGTGTCCTGTAGTCCAGGCACCACCTCGAGTCATAGTGCCTCCACGTGGAGTAAATGGAAACACATCAACATGCAGGTGATTAGTTGTGCTGTAGTGAACTCTGAAATACCCTCCTTCTGATGCTCTTTGCCATACAAAACCTTCGGTATCTTCAAGTGTCTGCCAACGTGCTGCCTTAAGCTGTGGACAACGATCAACATCTTGGGAATATATTCCCACATCTACATCATAATCCCATGGTATAATATCCCCACTGCGAACAGCACCTAGCAAAGACCCTCCCTCTAGCCACCACCGTGCTCGGCACACCCTTAACACCTGGAAAACATGTCGTGCAGTAGCCCTCAAGCCTTCTAAACAACATGGTGGTGTCCAGCGTCCCAGGTAAAGGTAATCTGGTGTATCATCTACAACTGTAGGAAAACAACGAGGAGTTGTGCGTGTACATCCATACCAGAGTACATTACCACCTGTGCTCACAACTTTTTTAACACCAAATGCAGCATAAAGTAAACGTCTCCGTTCGTCTTCGACTGCGTCATGTTTCCACTTTAAGTGGTCATTAGCATAAAGCTGCCGACCTTCACCTAAGAGACCACCCCGGCTAACATGAACTTTCCATGTACGTGCTGCACCTTGAATGCCAATACTTAGGGTTATCGGGCGTGCCAAAGGATGAGTCAGCTGAAGAAAACTGCTGGTTTTCATTAGCAATGCTGCACGACCACTAATTGCATCACAAGCTTCACTCTGAGGAGCAGGCGTTATTGTCAGTGTCCAAGCTTGAATGTCAAGAGTGTAACGGTGGCATATTAATGGTGAACCCCCAACACCTACAGCCACAACCTGTGAATCTCCAGTATTTAACAAATGAATGAGATCCACTAACTGTGTAGATGATGAACACCGAGCACCATCAGGCAAGAGCAAGACATACTTTGCATTTTTTAATAAACCTTGTATGTTGGGGCGATGTCTAAGAAGTCCTGGACTAAGAACCACTGACACTGCTTGTTGTGTTAAGTGCAACGGCGGATATATAGTTTCGTCACTCACCACAAGGACCCTACAAACACCACCACAGGCACTTATAACAGAGTCAACAGTTTCATGCACATCATTATCAAAACTTTCAAACTCTCTGATTATGACAATCAAATCTTCTAGTGGATTCTTTATAACGGGACTCTCTTTCTTGCTCACTTTCTCTTTAACTGAGAGCCGGTGCCCAACTTGGCGTACCACCAAAATAGTAATAAACAACAACAAAAACACCAAAACACTACGGGCCTTTCTTACACCCACCATACTGAACGTCCTGTGCTGTAAACGCTGTTAAGAACTAGTGACAGCACACAACATCATCATCAATGACTAGTTGCTTCACAATGCTAATTGTAAAGAATGACAATAGAAAATACACTCCAAATATTTAAAATAATTGCTTATACAATTATGTGTCCAGTTATTGAGCTTTGTGGCCAAATACAACAATTATATGTGTGTTATGTTCTGAAGACTGGATGTAAAGAGCAATGTTTTACAGAACAATTATCAAAATATTTGTAATTTTTAATTCATTAAATTCTTAGAATAATAAAATATTATTTTTACCAGAGTGGAAAGTTAATTAGGACAAATTGAAAATATCCTAAAGGAAACTGTTCAGATACTTGCATCATATGTACTATAATGCACTCAACAATGAAACACATGTACTCGTCTAGTTGTACTTGCCTAGTTGTGCTTGCGGGGGTTGAGCTCTGGCTCTTTGGTCCAGCCTCTCAACTGTCAATCAACTAGTGTACAGATTCTTGAGCCTATTGGGCTCTAAGCATGTACATCAAATGTTTTGGCCAAGCATAAGTTTATAATATTTATTTCCAGGAAATAACATTTAAAACGGCCTAATTCTCATTCTTTTGACCACGACACATCACAGCGGCCTTCCTCACCTTTCACATGAGAAAACACAATCACACAGCTCACACACTGAACAGTAATAGCACTAGAATGTTTTGACATAACTGGATATCCTCATTCCATCGGCTACTCTGCACATACCTCACTTCATTCTGGATAGAGTAAGAGTTTCAAGACAACTTGTAACATTTTTGCAGGCGGACAAGCGTTACACGATTTGGATTACGTGACATACTTCTAGAATAGGGAGGCTTCCATGCGTGGATCGTTGGGGTAGCACGATCGCGTGTCCTCTGCCTCCCCACACAGCATGCAGCTCATTTCATAATATTGATAGTCATCTTCAACCCAGAAGCGGTGCCCATGAGTGGCAATCACATGATTACAATTCCCACAAATATCTGAAATTAAAGAAAACATTATGAGGTACAAAATACACGTATATATATATATATATATATTAAAACATCTAAATTATTGGGACAAATTTAAATGTTTAAATCTGCATTTCCCTAGAGCACAGAGGGAAAGATAGCTAATAATTTACACTTAGTATTAGAGGGACTGATTCCAAATCTGCACATGGAAATAACATCACATGAGACTAGGAGTTACATGTCTAGCAGTTGGAATTACTAGATCCCTGGAACTCCCTCAAACCCAGTATTCAATACTGTTTGTGAACATGTGAATGATACAGAGCATTCAGGGCATTATGATAAAGAGGATGTTCTATCGTCACAACTTATATTGAATTTTGTAACTAGCTCATCAAGATTGTAACTTGCTTAGCTAAATGAATTGTGGAGTTCAGTCCCTGAGCCCATTATGTGCCTCTGTAACCCTTTCCACTACCGCCCACAAGATGGGTATGGGGTGCATAATAAATGAACTAAACTAACTAACTATCTTGAACATACCTTTATTATAAACCACAAACCCAAAATGTTTTCCAATTAAAGAAATTTGTAAGCATTAGCAAATTAACTATAAAACTTACGGTCATATTCAATAACTTCTTGTGGTGAATCCAGAGCATTTGAGGTGGTCCTGTTGACCACACTGAGTGTATCCTTGTGGCCGCAGCCTTGGCACCCTTGCAGATTTGCCAAGTATGTCCCAGTGTCCAGACAGATTGTACCCTGCATATAATGATAATTACATATGTAAGTACAGTAGTTACTAAACAAAAAAATATTAAAATATATTTAAGGAAAGTTGCCAGTAAGTTTGTTTTAAATTTATCGCAAAATTACGATTATGGACCTGCCCAAAATGCTATGCATATTAGTGGCTTTACAAGAATACAAGTTGTATATACTGTACAGGTATAAATATAAAAAAGTAACACTACCAATCCCATCTACTTACACACATAAGATGATTAGTGTAAATAATGTAATAGGAACCGGATTTTCTTTGATGATTACTTACCGATGCACCTTGCTTCCTATTGTTCAAGTAAATTTTTTACCTGTTGTTTACCCAATGTTGGTTGTGGGTATCAATGTCCCCCACAGCTGACCAGGCTGTGGTAGTGATCTGTGGTTGGTGATCTGGTCAACCAGGCTGTTGGAAGCGGCTACACACAACCCGACATGAATCAACCCGGTTTAACAGGCATCCTTTGGAGGTGTTTAGCAAATTCTCTCTTGAATAACCCTATCTACACAGACACCTGAGAAAAGACCCAAGTGACTGCCAAATGATTCTGATCATTACACGTGTTACAACAACTGCTCTCTGGCCGAGCCCAGAGTAAGGAGCTGCCTTAAGTTAACTGCTGCTCTAGATGATGTTACTCTGATATCACAAGTGAAAGTAATCTCACCTGTATAATTATCATACTGAGTCACTGATAGCAACTGGTAAATGCTGTTAGAATTCTGGACGGTTCATCAATGTATAACATACCTATGATTGTAAGTGGTACAATCAGCAGCATAAAAACTAGTGAATGAGTAAATATTAAGCCTATTTCTTCAAAAGGTAAAAATGACTAACCCTGTCTGGATATTCTTCTTTAACACACTCCTGGCACATCCTCACGTCTTACATAATTGCAACACGTTGTGTAATCTGAAAAGTAATTGTTGCTACAGTATAATACAATATACAGTGCTTGGTTAAAACTGCAAAAATCTACAGCATATTTTTCCCTTAACACATCACCATCGTGCTAAGGAAAAATTCAACAATTTGACTGGCAGCAGCACTTTCCATACAGCTATTTATTATTAATTTGCTTTGTCAAGGACAGGAAGCCTGTGTACATGTGTACTTTAGGCTTGTACTGAGGTCGTGTACTGTACCATGTAGCGACAACATAGCCTTACAGAGGTTGAACATGTGTAACATGAACAATTAGTACAAATATTATGTACTATGTAATACATAGTACATGATATCAAAACCACACATCAGAAAATGAAGAAATGACATTTCAGTCCATCCTGGACCATTATCAAGCCTAGGCATGATCGAAACATTGGTTCTTAATTTTCTGCCAATGACTTAATTGCTGCATTCATAATGGAAATACAGGACACTTCATATACAAGAAATTTCTCAGATCTATCAGAAAACTAACATGACCTAATCCAGCCTAGCCTAACAATAAAATTGTGAACATTTTAAAACAAGCTGTGTGTGTGTGCAATTTAGCCGTATGGGGGTATCACGTACCCCCCATACCCCAACCTCTGGGTAGTGGTAGATGGAACACAGGAACAATTGCTATCTGTCAGGGAAAATGACGGGATCTTTGACAAGTCGCCGGTTTCCTGTCCTCATCAAGGCCACTAGGGTTAGTGGCCATAAGGTAAAAAAAAAAAAAAAGGTTCTGGATCTGTAATGAAGTCCAATAACAACTATTTCAAAAGTTAAAAAAAATTGCAAGTTAAATTTGTTTTAACCACAATAAAGAGTAGGCCGAGAGTAGGCTGATAATAGGCCGAGAGTAGGCTGCTAATAGGCCGAGAGTAGGCTGCTAATAGGTGGAGTAGGCTGCTAATAGACCGTGTAGGCCGAGAGTAGGTTGCTAATAGACCATGTAGGCCGAGAGTAGGTTGCTAATAGACCGTGTAGGCCGAGAGTAGGTTGCTAATAGACCGTGTAGGCCGAGAGTAGGTTGCTAATAGACCGTGTAGGCTGCTAATTCAAATTCAAATGTTTATTTAGGTAAAGTAGATACATACAAGGGGTGATACAAATATTGATGAGTAGGCCAATAGGCCGAGTAGGCCGAGAGTAGGCTGCTAATAGGCCAAGTAGGCCGAGAATAGGCTGATAATAAGCCGAGTAGGCTGATACTAGGCCGGTGACACTGGTTGGGTGCCTTTGACATTCAGGCGGTGGCTATAAGCCACAATGTGCGTATGAAGGCAGTGAGCCAGGTGGTGATGGTGCCTAGACACACATGTGACACACGCCAGGACACACATGTGACACACACCAGGACACACATGTGACACATGCCAGCACACACCAGAACACACGTGTGACACACAACAGGACACCCATGTGACACACACCAGGACACCCATGTGACACACACCAGGACACACATGTGACACATACCCGGACACAAGAGTGCTGCCAGAGACACACACACACCAGGACACCCATGTGACACACGCCAGGCCACACATGTGACACACACCCGGACACCCATGTGACACACACATGAGACACCAGGACACACATGTGACACACGCCAGGACACCCATGTGACACACGCCAGGACACCCATGTGACACACATGAGACACCAGGACACACATGTGACACATACCCGGACACAAGAGTGCTGCCAGAGACACACACAGCCAGGGGAGACACAAGAGTGAGAGACCGCGGGGCCCAACACACTTCTCACACAACAATAACAATAACACTCATATATTTATTGTTACAAATTACACAGGATCACTTATGTCATTATACACATTTGTATCTGTTCATAAAACCACTAACCACGCCTAATTAAGCTCTTTATGAAAACATTTTATTTTTATTGAAATTTTTTGCTCCTGAGAGAGAATGCCTTATTTCTCCGCTATTATTCAAATATATACAAGATTTTTATTAATATGTTGATGCAAAATTTATTCCATATATGTGCTACGTCATCATTGTTTATTAATAAGCTATTATCAATTTTCTCATAAGTATTCTGGTGGGTTAAGTTCGAGCCCCAGAAGGGGTCGAATGACCTCATTAACAACTTATTGGTGTTGTTGAGCCAGCAGTGGCTGGGAACCTAGTTGTAAACCCACTAGCAAGGTTCTAGAGACAACGTTAAGCCGCTTTTTAATTTTTTTTAATACAGGAGAAAGCGCCAAGCCATTACGACTATATAGTACTGGGAAGGGGTCAGGTTAAGGATTTGGGATGGGACGGGGGGAAGGAATAGTGCCCAACCACTTTGACGGTCGGGGATTGAGCCTGTTTAAGACAGTCAGCTGAAGTCCTATAATCTTTACGGGCTATTCATGCCCGTGCCACCTCTTGGGTGGCTTAATCTTCATCAATCAATCAATCCTATAACCAGGGAGGATTGTACGCTTTGCAAAGCGTGTTAGTGGCTTTGCATGAATGTAAAAATACCAGTCTTAAGTAATCTCACCAATCCATTGTATCTTCTTGCGAATAAAAATTATTACTGTATATTATTATTATTATTATTATTATTATTATTATTATTATTATTATTATAGTGCCATTATTATTTGGAAGCGAATGAAATCAGATTCACCTTCTGATAGACAATGTCTATCAAAAAGTGCAAGAATGTAAGAACTCTTTTACATTCTCTTGTACTATTTGCATTTACAAAATCTTGTTCCTAAATGCTAATTCCGAGCTGAAACTCTTCCTTGATAGATGTAATAGAACCAATGAGCACCATACCAGAAATAAATCTGATATCCATAAAGGCAGACTAAATCTGTCTAAGCACTCCATGCAAATAAGAGGACCCAGTCATTGGAACTCGCTCCCTAATTAATCAAACAATTATCAAACCTACAGTATACCTTGCCAATCAAAAGTAAAACCTAATACCCTAAAACTTAAATAAAAAAACTAAAACGTACCTAATAATATCCTCATAGTTCCCCCCCCCCCATCTAGCGCTTCAAATTCCTCACTGCCAAATTTGAGTACTAAAAGTCATGAAATTTCATAAGTATAATCCATATTCTCAAATTATATTGTAGCTATTATGTTGAACTCAAAATCTGCTACAATGTACTATATTACAGTATTACATTTCTCAGCTTAAGGATCTGCCCAAAATGCTAATGCATGTATTAGTGGCTTTGCAAGACTAATGCTCAAATATCAATATTATGTACGCTCACAACCAAATATACCTTCGTTGCAACTTGTATATAAATAAATGAAACAATGCATAAAATATTGCACGTCTTCAGAAAGACTGAGATAAAATCGTTACTGTGAGTGCATCATAGGTATTGTATTTCTTTCTTTTCTGTTATATTAATTATTAATGTTTATTAACTTAGATCTTTTTTCAACAATTTTCTTTGGGTGCTGGGATGGAGAAAGGGAAAGAAACAGGCAGAGGCCAAGGCACTACTGGGAAGGGGAAACAGGAGGGTGGAGGGAAGGGGAGAAAAGGTGGGGGAAGGAGAGAGAGGGTGAGGGAAGGAGAGATGGTGGGGGAAGGGGAAAAGAGGGTGAGGGAAGGAGGAGAGATGGTGGGGGAAGGAGAGAGATGGTGGGGAAAGGGGAAAAGATGGTGGGGAAAGGAGGAGAGATGGTGGGGGAAGGGGAGAGATGGTGGGGGAAGGGCAGAAATGGTGGGTTTAGGGGAAAGATGAGAGATGGTGGGGGAAGAAAAAGGGCCAGGGGTGTGCCACAAGTGGATAGAAAAACCACACATGACTTCTTTGTTTATTACATGAATCTTAAAAATTTCATTATAGAATATATTTCCTGAACTTTCAAGTTAATACATAATATACACAATTTTTCTGTAACTACAATAACTAACAAAGAAATAAAATAAACAATTCTATCAAAATGTTCTGAACAACAAATTCAAACAAATGTACTAGACTATCATGAATGGAATTTCAACAAAAATATTTAATACTCATAATGACATGAGCATCAAGAATACTTTATTCTAAAATCAATCTCTAATATCCTAAAGTTTCAAACAGCATAAGGAATATTTACATACAGCACTGAGTACATAATACAGCCACTGCAGTGTGCTCTATATGAAGGTACACACAACTCTCACCTCTAGTAATGAAGTAGTCAAAACTCACCATTCTCATACTTAAATTATCTTGCTTTGGTGAAACAAATTCTTATATGATTGTGCTCAAATCTGTAAAATAACTCAACACACATACAAAATTTAGCCTTTACAAGACTCACTGCAGTTTCTTTTAAAATTCAAGTACACTTCGGCACAGACGAAATTCCATTAAATAATTTGTAGTAAAATTGGTGCAAATACCAGTAGTTTCAAACATTTGTTTGTATCACTCATTCAATATCTTTTGCTGCTTTTCTACTTTTTTTTTTCAAAATACAGTACATACACATGCAGGAGATCTGTTACAATGCCAAGTCACCAGCACTTTTTTTTTTTATATACTGTATTTTCATCTAATTGTGACTCCTTCATTTATGATGCGCTACTGTATTACCATATACAGTATTGTACTGATAGATATTTTTTTTAATAATAAACAGCAATTCAAATCACTTCTAATTAAATTTACAAGTCAATATCTTTACTGAGAAACATAACAAAATTCAAATTTATTAATGGCATATAAGTCCTGATGATTTCATCGTCTCATAATATCTCGGGAAAGTCATTTCCACGATCTCGTTCTCACAATACACTTCCATAAGCCTTCTGTAGACTGCATGTGATCACAATTACTAATGCTCACTTAACTGCTAATAAGTCACTGTAAGCCTTCTTGCTCTTCACCTCCCATGCTCATCACCCATAGTTACATTCCCACTACTCTACTCATTAACACAACTTGAGAAAACTACATATACAAAATGATAAAAATATAAATATTATGATGTCAAAGTGTAACCACAAAGTAATTAATATCATAAGCATATACAGTACCGTACAGTACTGTTCAGAAGATTAGTCACAGAATTGTACTGGCAAAACTGCCAAATATTTAATGTACTAAAGATTACAACTAATTGTGCTAATTTCAGAGCCAGAGAAGGCAAGAAAAATCAACCATTTTACATTTTTTTTAATTAAAGACAAAATACTGTACATTTGTATGTATATGGCAGAAAGTGTGTTGAGTGTATATGTGTAATTACATAAGAACTACGCTCATAGTATCCCATCTTCCGTATAATTTTTGTTATATGACATTTCAAAACGACACCTTTGTTTTTATATCCTGATTCTATGGATTTTTTGTTCTCAAAATTATTGGTTTAAAAAAATTCCTGTCATGGTTTTCTGTGATCACATCACCAATTTCCTTGTCTAGTAACTTTGGTATGTTTAATTCCTTCACCCTCTCAACAGCTTGTTTGTTTTATGTCATATGCTTTATGAGATAGGAACACTAAAACAACTGCTGAATATTCTAGCTTGTAGCTCACACATGTGAACAATTTCTCCACCAATGCATTAAAAAGTGATTGTGAAAAAGGCAAGCTTGTACTGATAACCAAAGTAATTATCAGAAGAATGCACTATGCCAGCAATTGTGTCCCCTCATTCTAGTTTAACCACTTGCTAAAAGTAAGTAATTATCAAAAGGAGGCACCAAACTGGTTAGGTTATGTAGCACCATCAAATGTGCGGAATAATCAGAGGGCGCTAAATATCACCAGGAATGCCAATACGAGAACAGAAACGCACAAGGCAAATGATATCAAAAGTATCCGATTCACCAAGAATTCTATCGAGGGACAAGTGACCGTGAGGGACGGTCAGAAAACAAGACACGCGCTCGTCCTGGAAGTCAGGACGGTCAACAAGGATATGCACGACCGTAAGAGGGACAATGCAATTTGGACAATAAGGAGCAGGGAGGCGCTCCATTAAGTGACCATGAGTTAAGCGTGTATGGCAAATACGCAACCTCGCCAGAGCTGTTTCCCATCACCGGTTATGGTGGTAGGAGGAAGGCCATGAGGACTCACTACTCTTTAAGAGTACACAGTTTGTTAGCAGTAACAGAAGACCAGCAATCCTGCCAACGGGTAAACATGGAGGAATGAATAACTGGGTAAAAGTCGGAATAAGGAATACCTTTATGGGAGATGGGACAAGAGCAGACAGCTTCCCGAGCAGCAGCGTTCGCACGCTCATTTAGAGAGACACCAATTTGGCTGGGAACTTAGCAAAACTCAAACTGACTTTAAGTTTACTGAAAATAAGAAACAGCCAATGTTGAATCTCGACAACCACTGGATAGACAGGATTAAAGGACCCGAGAACCATGAGGGCACTACGAGTAAACAACAACCACAAAGGAAGATTGACAACGAGAAAGCAGGAGACGAAGAGCATAGAGAATAGCATAAAGTTCTGCTGTGAAGATGCTAGTCTCCAGAGGTAGGTGACACATATAAGTGCGGTCAGAAAACAACAACAGAGTAGCCTACACCGTCCGCAGACTTAGACCCACCGGTGAAGACGGAAACGGAGCAGGAGTGCGAAGAAGTGCTCAAGGAAAAGGCGTTTCAGAACCGTAGGAGGGGTAAACGCTTTAGTGATGCGGGTCAAGGGTGTACAAAACTTCATAAAGAGGACTCTCCACGGAGGCAAGGAAGGAACAATATGAGGAGAAATATTAGAAATATGGATTGAGAGAGAATCCTGTAAGCGAGATAACCAGACAGAAAGAGGGAGGTGGTAAAGAGGAAC